AGCAGCAGCAGCAGCAACCGTAGCAACAGCAACAACAATGACAGTAGCAGCGACATCAACAACAACAACCACAACAAGGCCAATTAGAAAAGCAAGGTGATCAAAGGGAACCGATAACAACAACAAGAGCAACAAAAACAACATCAATCTAAATTATAAAGAGCAAATGTCAGCAGAACTTAAATGTAGACGAACAAATAACGAGCAACAACAATAACAACAACAACAATAACAAAACAAGAACAACAACAATAACAACAACAATAACAATACAACAACAACAATAATATCAGCAGCACATTTACTATAAAGAGCAGAAATGAGTTCAAGAACAATTACAATAAGTTAGCCATCATTATTATTATTCTGAAGATTGAAACAAATATTATACTTCATACCTGAAGAGCATAGTAGATTTATTGTAAAAGCTCGGTTTCGTCTATAGTTTCACCAAAGCAGAGATCTGAACTGACATCCTTCATTAGAGTTAAACTAAATAGCCAATTTGCTACGATAATAACCACAGTCATTCTGATTTGTTAATGTTTGAGTGAGTAGAAAAATGTTCTATGTTCAAAGGTATTCCAAACTCAAGTATATTTTTATTTATGTCCAACATTCATTTGCAAATTTTTATTTTCATGACATTTCGTTACTCTAGAATCACAAAGTTCTATTTGCTCATTAGCTACTTTTGGGGGAATTCAACGTTTAAAAAATTGAGTTTTACAACATGCCAACCTTTTTCGAACGCAATTCTTTGAATGTCATGATTACAACTTCGAATTCGATTTTGATAGAGGACTTACAACATTCGGTTTCTGGCCTCGTGGTCTAAGAAACTCAAAACAGCCAAAAATGTCAGATACAACTTTGAAATTTAAAGGTAAAGATTTGGCAGGCCAAAGCTACTTCGGTGGATGGGTTTGATTTTAGTCTTTTGAACATTACCGTAGTACGTCAACGAAATGTTACTGAGAGACTTTTGATACTTTCAGCAATCGCTAAAATTATATAGTAACAAAAAACAAAAAGCCACAAACCTCGCCAGCAGACGCATGCGTCCGTGCAATCAAACAAAGCCGTCCTTTTATGTTTTGCAGGTAAGAAGAGTTTAGAACAGTCAGCGTATACATAACCTTTACAGCACTCGACTGCCGTGAATGGCTTGGTCACGTCTTGCTGTGGGACTGACTGACTGAGGCGGTGACGGCGGCTACAAGGGTTTCTGTTTAAAAATAGATGGTGTTCACCGAAGTGGCCCTTTGGCTGTTTTCAGACCGGTTAATTGGAGTTAACTGCTTCGGTTAACTGCAAGGAAGCTCTTTATGTCGTGTGCGGACTATGATACCCGTGAAGCAAGATTAATAGCAGAAGAATTACATTAAGAGTCTTGAAGATTGAAGGTAGCTTGACTTCATGCTAGTAAAGTGTTTTAGTGTAGAGGACTGGCAATCTCGAGATAGAGGATTTGGTACCTGGCTCCCGCAACATGAACGTTGTACCCTATCGAACAATGTATTTTTTTGTTTTTGTTTGGTATTTTATATACTAATTTCTATTCTTTGCACAAATACAAATTAGGATGGGGCTGTTTTATTTGCTTGTTTCTTTTTAGGCAATCGACAAAATAATGCCAA